CTTTAAAATGTAGGCTGATTTAATTCAGCAGTTTATAACTGATTATATAAAAAATACCACCAAAGACTATAAGATCAGTACCCGAGTAATGTTCTTACCATCTGTATTTGTTTTTGTCATCACCATTGTTTTATTTCCATGCCAGAACAGTTCTGTCTGTAGTGTCCGCTATTTATTTATTTACTTATTTATTTATCTATTTATTTATTTATTCATTGTTTACTTATTTATTTATTTACTTTTTTTTACATCTTGACCACAATTTTTCTCTCTCTCCTCTCTTCCCATTATGTCTCCCTTCCCCTCCAACCCCTTCAATCCACTCCCACCCTGTTTCTGTTCAGAAAGGGACAAGACTCCCATGGGCATATCATAACAAAGTATGGCATATCAAGTTGCAGGAAGACTAAGCACCTCTCCTTGTATTTAGGCTGGGTAGGCGATCCAGTATGAGGAATACGCTCCCAAAAGGCAGGCAAAGCATTAGGGACAACTCTCGCTCCCAGTGTTACACATCCCACAAGAAAACACAACTGTCACAACATACATGTAGAGGGCCTAGGTCGGGCCCATGCAGGCTCTCTGGTTGTTGGTTCAGTCTCTGAGAGTTCCTATGAGCCAAGTTAGTTGTTTCTGTGGGTTTTCTTGTGATGTCCTTGACCTTTCTGGCTCCTTCATACCCCTCTTCAGCAGGATTTCCTAAATTCGACCTAACATTTGACTGTGGGGTTCTGTATTTTTTTCATCAGTCACTGGTGAAACAGTCTTTTAGGATAATTGGAGTAGTCACCAATCTGATCCCAGGAGATGGCAAATTCAGGCTATGTATCCACTTTCACTATTAGCATGGTGTTTATTAAGAAATTCTGAGGCTTCTAGCTCATTTCCTCCTGGTAGCTGATCAATTTCATCATTACCTTCTACTAGAAGGCCTAGTAGGCCCATATGGGACCTAATATGTGTTATAAATAGGGGGTTATTTTTATTTCTGATTATTTCTTATAATTGAATAAATAACAAAGTTAATTCTGGATCATCTGGAATAAGTTCAGTGTTTGCAATATATAAGACAACTCATTGCATATTGAGAGTCAGTAGCTATATTAAGAGGCAAAACCTAATAATACCTTGAGAAAAACATATAATTCTTATTTTATTTTTAAACTGCATCATAAGGGCTTTGAGCCACTTTACTTATTTTTCCTGTCTTAGAACCTGTCTTTCCTGATTTATTTGCATCAGTATATAATGTAGGGGCTCCAGAAATTGATATTCCCAGAACAATGTTAAGGAGGATCCATATAGTTTTCTTTATAAACTGAAGTCTTGTTTTGGGGGTATTTGTTGCTAATCTCTCCAAAAAATTATTGCAAGCTCTTTGCAAATGTTCATTTTCTGTCCATAATGAATAAATTTCAGCATAATTAAAAGTACCACAATTTCTGCTGGGTCTATTTCTACTAATTGGTGAAATCTCAATTTTCCTCTCAGAATCAATTCAGAAACCTGTTCTACATAGGCCTTTAATTTTTTACTGTTTGTGTAGTAAAAATATCCATTCTAAAATATTACCTTCTCTCTGCATAAGAATTCCTGTAGGAGAATGAATAGAAGGTAGTATGACCAGGATACACTCAAGCTCTGGATCCAAGCAATCCACATGTGTATCCTGTAATTTCTCTTCTAACAAAACCAATTCTCTTTCGATCTCAACTGATAATTTTCTTAGACTATTTAAGTCCTTATCACTTTATAAGGTTTGAAATAAATTACTTAGTTCTTGAGTTTTTAAAGTAGTTAATATCTCCCAGCAGTTTTTGAATCATTCATAATATATAATTGATCTCCACCAATTTGTACTTTCTATGGTTGAATATTTTATAAATTTATCTTACATCCTAAGTAATTAATAGAATCTTATCTTTGCATTTTTTCAGGAGCAATTTGTAATCCCCCAGCAAGGCAAAAATTTCTTTACTTCTTCAAATATTTTTTCTAAGATAGCTGCATTTGATTCAGCTAATGAGATATCATCCATATAATGGTAGATTATAGATCGAGGGTATTATTTACAAATTATTTCTAAAGGCTGTTGAACAGATATTGACACAATTTTGGACTGTTTAACATCCCTGTGGGAGAACTTTCCACTGATAACTTCTAACAGGCTGAAAGTTATTATAAGTAGGCATTGTGAAGGCAAAATTTTCTTTATCCTCTTCTTGTGAAGCCATAGTAAAAACAACCCTTAAAATCAATCACTATAATTAACCATACCTTAGGTAACAAAGAAGGCAAAGGAATTCCAGGCTGTAAGAAGCCCATTGGCTGAACCACCTTGTTTATAACTCTTAAATCTACCAACATTCTCCATTTTCCAGATTTCTTTTTAATGACAAATATAGAAGAATTCCAAAGACTGATCTAATCTTCAATATGTTGAAGGTCTAGCTGCTCCTGTACTAGACACTCTAGTATCTATAATTTTTCTGTTGTCAAAGGCTGATGTTCCACCCATACAGGTTTGCCAGTTAGCCATTTTAAAGGTAGGGCTGTTGGTACCCTTGAAGATCACAAGTTGTTGTGCCCTGCTTATGTACAACCTGAACAGTCTGTGACTCTTCCTGATAATAACTTTTAATTTTTCTCTCAGAAGCATTCTTTATTTTATGGTTTGTTTCTGAGATTGGAGGAATGTTAATCTGTGTTTTTCATTGCTGCAGCAAATCACCTACCCATAAATTCATTGCTATTTTAGCCAAATATGTTCTAATTTTCCAATCTGTCTTTCTGGCCCCATACACTCAATTCATCTTGCACTATGCTTTAGCTGACATAATTTTACAATCGTAAGAAGCTAATGTCTTACCTGCTGAAGAGGTCAATTTGGATGCAAAGGTTTTAGTGACATTATTGTTACATCTGCACCTGTGTCTAGTAAACCTTCAATTGCAACACCATTTATTCACATATTTAGCTTTGGTCTTTGATCATTTACAGAGGTTTGCCAAAATACTTGTTTTATGGTCTCCAATGAAAAATTTGTTTTGTTTGTTAAAAAATTTTCTGTCATCCAGAGCAGAATGGTTTTCTAATAATAGGCAGTAGGCCCTTCAGTTACTCTGTGGTGTAGTTTCCCCAATCCTGACAGGGAATAATTGAGCCGCATTTGACTTTGGGGCAGCAAGAGCCTCCCTATGGCATTTCACAGTGGCAAAATGTTACCTTGCCTGTCCCTTGCTGTTCTGCATTCATTACTTCTGTGTCACCTTTGATACTCCTTCTGCATACTGCATAAGACTGGAGCCTTTTGTTTAGATTTACTCTAGAAAAAACATTGTTTCTAGGAACATCTTGCCTACAATCCCTTTTCAAACAATTTTTTTTTACCACAATTAAAACATCTGACATTTTGATTTTTCTTAAAATTTCTAGGAATTAATTTTCCTATCAAAGCAGCATCATAAGCCTGAGATCCAATATAAACCATATTTCTAATCCATTCATCTATTGCTACAATCTTGCATTTAAAGGCCCAGTCACCCTCTTTGCACTCTTAATTAGCATTATCAAAAGCCAAAGATTCAATTAATATTTGTCTAACTTCTGGATCTGATATCATTTTATTTACAGCTGAAGTCAATCTTTGTAAACAATCAGTGAAGGCTTCTTTTGGTCCTTGTATAATTTTTGTAAATGACTCAATCCTCTTTCCTGATTCTTCAACCCTGTCCCAAACATTCAAATGTACTATACCAGCCGGGCGGTGGTGGCGCACGCCTTTAATCCCAGCACTCGGGAGGCAGAGCCAGGCGGATCTCTGTGAGTTCGAGGCCAGCCTGGGCTACCAAGTGAGTTCCAGGAAAAGGCGCAAAGCTACACAGAGAAACCCTGTCTCGAAAAAAACAAACAAAAAAAACAAACAAACAAACAAAAAAACAAATGTACTATACCACATAATGCCAAGGTGTGATCATCATATCTAAACTGTCTTTTCAAATCTGCATATTGACCTTCAATGAGTAGTTGGTCTTGGGAAATTTCCACCTCCTGCTCCACCACATTGTTCTATAATGCTAGCTTCCTCTTTCCACTATATTTTCCATTGTAAATGAGGACCAGCTTCCAATATTGCTGTAGCTAAATCTTTTCAGTATTATGGAAAGTTCTGTTCTAAGTTTTCCATGAATTTAACATCTGCTTCACATAGGATGAATGCATATGATATGAAACAGCTAATTCTTTGCAGAATTCCAGTCAACTTCTGCATAGCCTTGGGAATGCATATCATCTGGTGGTTGTTTTGTAGGGTAACTGGATAAGCTAAGGTTAGTTTTCTAATAACCTTGGGCTACTTCTTTTCAATTTCATAATGAACTTGTGTGGTAGGTTCTGCTCTAAATTCCTGTCTGTATCTGAATATTTTCTTATTTTCATTAGTAGATCTTTCTAAAGCTTGCATCTTATATATCAATTTTTTATTATTTTCATTAGTACGTCTTACTAAGACTTGTATCTCATCAGTCAACTCTTCATTATTTTCATTAGTGATTCTAATGCTTGTATCTTATCCATAGTAAGATTTTTTTTAAGGTTTACATTTTATCAGTCAAATTTTCATATTTGGCATATCATTTTAATGATGAAATATGAATTACCAAGCTGATAATAATTATAATTGAGATTGTCAATCCTAAGCTAAGTTGGTTATCCCTTCATTTAATATTTCTATTTTTCAAAGCAGACATTGTGTAACCATACAGAGACCCAACTTCCTATCCTCTTATACCATAATATTATTTCCTAATCTTAACCTAGAAAAGACTCTCTCTCTCTCTCTCTCTCTCTGGGTGTGTCTCTCTCAAACTAATTTCCTCTTTAAGAATTCTCATGTATCTCACCAGATCTGATGATCTGATGATGTGGACAGCATAGGCCGAGCTGTGTTGGGAGGGGGAGTGATGATGCTTGATTGTGCTTTCAGGGAGGGTGGACCTTCGATGTACTCAGAGCCCATGATGACTGCTATGGCTGTTCACTCGCCATGCAGGGAAGAAGTGGTTAGCAGCTTGAAGAGATACTGTAGGGAAATGGGTAGGAGAAACTCAAGCTGCAGCAGCATGGGAGGAGACGAAGTCACCTGCCATGGTCAGTGGAGAGTGACTGCCCAGTGAGTGCAAAGCAACTGTTCTAGCTGTTGCTCCCACCATGATGGCTCTGTGCTGCTTCGGCGTGATCCACACCCACATGTTGGAACCAGATATTGCAATGTCTTTTATTGTTTTATGAAAAGACAAAACACAGGAGTTAAATATTAGGGAATAAATCTGAGAGACCCATGGAGCAATAGAGAAATGAACACCTGCTTTCTTCTCCCCCTTCCCTGAAGGAAAAGGCCCATACAGCTCTCTTCTCCCCCTTCCCTGAAGGAAAAGGCCCATACAGCTCTCTTCTCTACCTTCCCTGAAGGAAAAGGCCTACACATCTCTATTTGCTCCTCCTTATTCCTCCTGTATGCTCCTCTAGCTTCCTCTGAGTCCACCAGAAAACTACATTGGTCCACTCCAGCCAGCTGAATCAGATGCTGCCCTTCAAACCGAGACCAGACTCCACCGGAGGTCTCAGAGCAACAACACAAACTAATCTCCAACAGCAGCAAATAGATCCATATCTATCATCCTGCCCAAAAAAACAAACCCAAGTGGGCCAAAGACCTCAACATAAATCCAATTACACTGAACCTGATAGAAGAGAAAGGGGGAATAGCCTTGAATGCAAATTCCTGAAAAGAACATCAGTAGTATAGACACTAAGATTGACAATTAATAAATGGGACCTCATGAAACCGAAAAGCATAAGGCAAAGGACATTGTCAATAGGACAAAACAGCTTACAGAATGGGAAAATATCATCACCAACCCCACATCTGATAGAGGGTTGATCTCTAAAATATATAAAGAACTCAAGAAACTAGACATCAAAAAAACAAATAACTCAATTAAAAATTGTAGTACACACCTAAGCAGAGAATTATCAACAGAAGAATCTCAAATGTCAGACAAACTTAAAAGACTGTCCAACATTTTTAGCCATCATGGAAATGCAAATCAAAATGACTCTGAGATTCCATCTTACAAATGTCAGAATGGCTGAGATCAAAAACACAAATGACAGCTTATGCTGGAGAGAATTAGGAACAAGAAGGGCATTCCTCTATTGCTGGTGGGAGTGCAAACATGTACAGCCACTTTGGAAATCAATATGGCAATCTCTAACAAAACTGGGAATCAATCTACCTCAAGACCCAGTGACACCACTCCTGAGCACATACCCAAAGGACGCTCAATCGAAGCACAAGGACACTTGCTCAACTATGTTCATAGCAGTATGTTTGTAATAGTCAATAGTGTCTTCATTTCATATAAATATTGCTTCTATTCCTCTTTTTTTTACATCTTAGAGTGTTTTATATTCATACAGTCAAGTTTTTAAAAATTTAACAACATTTATTCAATTATTTATGCCCCATTTCACCATTCACCATGCAAACCTTTGTTAAGGCAGAAAAGTTATACTTTGCAAATGACTATATTCAGGATACAATCATTCCATTTAAAAAAATACTGCTTCTCCAATACCAAGTGGTCAGCCCTGAAATCATATGCATACAAGTAACATTATGTGCAGATTGGACAGATTGTATTTATATATTCAGAAAAAAGATATATGTGTGTGTGTGTGTGTATATATATATATATACATGCATGTGTGTTTGTGTGTATGTGTGGTACATTGTATACAGAAATAGAGACCATGAACTTGAGAGAAAGAAAGTTGAGGGTGTGCATGGAAGGGGTTGGAGGGTGAAAAAGGAAGGGAGAGATGATGTAGTTATACTTTAATATCAAAAGAGAAAACAATGTATTACAAATACTGAAATTTAGACCAAGAACATCAAAGACAATTCCTTAATAAGTATTCAAAGCTTGATGCTGCTTGAATCCTTATCACCAAACTCCTGTTAAGGTCAGTGGGAGAACTGTCCCCACAAGGGTTTCAGACAATGGGGAAGGAGAATTCATTCACATAGCAGAACAAACTTTAATAAGCTCTCTCAATTAGTATTTACCTGAGGGACTGGAACAACTGTAATGGAAAACCTGCTTAATAGTCATCTATTAAATAACTGGTTTTCTTTATTTAAATTGAAATTATAATACAGGTTTAGTAAAAAACAAGATTTATATACTATTATTTTATAAACTGAGGTAATACAGGGGTTGTTTTTATTAACCAAATTTATTTGAGTATTGCATTTTTCTGCTTTTTTAAAAGTTCTACTTTGAGTGATATATTAAAAGTGACCACATAATTTTACACAAAAATAATAAAGCAAGTGTACTTCATGCAAAAGTGTGGCTTGCAAGAATATATCAAATACTATATAGACTAAATCAGATTGGACAGTTTCTAGTAGAACATGGTTACTTAGATGAAAAATTCTTGTCCTTGTGAGACCACTTCAGGGTTTTCTATGCCCTACAAACTATTTGATTCAGTTCATCTTGCATGTGACCTTATGAAGAATGTGCTCTTTTCTAGTTTAGATAAAAGAATTGTGCTTCCCAGCATTCTCCCTGCCTCCTTCCCCTTGGTACTCACATTTCTTATGGCACTAGAATGATTCCATAGCAATTATTCCCAAAACTATAATAGAGACCTTAAGAGGGACATGTATAGTGTTCTCATTCTTCTATTCTTCCTCTTCTCTAGCAAACACATTGTCAGATAAGAAAACACTTAAGGTTCTAAAATAAAATGCATAAACAATACTCATTTGGGCTAAAGCAGGTTTCTGTTCCCTCCCTATCTTTTACTCTCCTTGTCATTAAGCTCATTTAAGATAGATTGAACTTCAATAACTAAAATACTGGTGCTTCTAATGTCCAGCTTCACAAAAACAGTGTGTTAACAACTGACTTTTCCCTTCTAATTTCCCATCTCTTTTCTAGATCACATGTAAAAAGACATGAGAATGCATGAAACTAAGAATATGTTTATAGCAAAATCATGTTTATAATGACATTATTAACTATATTGGTTTATGAAGGACTGCATGTATTTAGTATATACAGTTCAATGTGTTAGGTCCTAGGGTAATCATTTTGATCTTCTTACAAGGAAAAATTCAGGCAATGACATGGTGCTCTGATTCTGTGTTTAGAAAATTTGTTAGCCTTCTGAAGCAGGGATTAAACTTTTATATCTAATATTTATGCAGTCCAAAGTATGTAAATATATATACAAATCATACTTTTATTAATATATCAGAAAGAAACACAGTATAATATTTCAACACATGCTGAGGAATGATGGTAGAAGAGTATGAGAAACATTGGTTTTCTGTAACTAAAAGAATGGTTCTTTAAGAGTAGAAGTGAAAAAAACAAAAAAACAAACAAACAAAAAAACAAAACAAAACAAAACAAAAAAAAGAGTAGAAGTGGTAAGAACAGTAAAAACACTGCAACATGCTATAACTAGTTCAATTATGAGCTGTAGAGTTTTAGGAAATTTTTTTTTTTGGTGTTACATGACCTGACACATACACCATGCAAAAAATGCACAGTGTGTGTTCCGAACCAAGGCTACAAATGAAGCTGCACAGTGTAACATTGGCAAATGTTTCCAGAAGCAATTCAGAATCATTGCACATTTGATTTTGAATAGCTTTTTAGTCATCTACCATTCAAAAGTCTTTTATTATGACCAAAGTTATGACATCCAAATTCGGTTATGTGAGCACTGGTTGAGGAGCTGGCTATAGACTTCTAATCTTATAGAGTGTGACAAGTTTTCAAAAACAGCTTTATGGGAATGTTGACAAGAACTAGGTAAAAAACATTGCTGAGAATTTTCTGTACATGAGAAAATGAATTTATGGAAACTGTTTTTAAATTGGAATTATTCAATGTTTAAAACCGAGAAAGCACTTTAAGAGTGAACAAAGGGATAAAATAAATCAAGTTCAAGTTGTCAACTTATCCGTTTAATGGTGTCCCAAGGGGAGATACAGGTCATGGCACTTGCCACAGTGGCTGTATTCTAGTAGTTCCTGTGACTTTTGAAATATCATTATGTTTTAAGCATTTAACCAGTCTTAACCATGCTGTGTCATTCATATGCCTCCTTTATCTTACTTGTATGCCAAATTTTATATCTGCATAAAATAAAGGGTTTGAAAGGGGAGAAGGCAGGAAGCTTATTTCTTTGTATGTTACCTAAAATGAAATAAAACTCCCTAAATACAATTATGTTTGAATAGCAGAAATAAATGACAGTCTAACTTTTAGAAAATCATGTGGATGAATAAACTTTGTTTTTGAAAAATTTTTTGTGATATGATTATGAATGTATGTATGTGCACATGCATGTTACTGTATTCGAGCTTCAGTATGTATATACTACAGCACTTGTGTAGAGGTCAGAACAAGCAGCGATTTTGGTCCTCACCTTCCACCTTGTTTGAGACATGATCTCTTACTGTTCACAGTGGAATACAGAAGGCTAAATGTCTTGTGTGCTGTGGACGTTCCCTCTCCATCTCTCATCTCATTGTAGGAGTGCTAGAATGGCAGAAGTGTGCTGTCATGTCTGGATTTGCACAGGTTCTGAATACAGGTCTTTACACTTGTGTGGCAAGTGCTTTGCTTTACCCACCAACACATCTCACCAACCATAGTGCGTTGTTTTAGTAAATAATGATGTAGAAATTTGCAGTAACTAGTCTTCAATCAATAGTGTATATTGCAGAGCAAAGGAAAAAAATCAAGAGTCTTCACTGCAGTTAACCTATAAAATAAGAGAAAATGCTTGTGAACTTTTCATTAAACAAAGGATTAGTGTCCACAATATATGCAGAATTCAAACAACAGAAAGAAAACTTCAATTCAAATGGGCAATTAATCACATAGACATTTCTCAAAGGAAGACTTACACATGGAAATCAGGCATATGAAAAAAATGTATCAGAGAAGTGTACACCAAAGGTACAACAGGATACAACTTACTTCATTTAGGATGAATGTTTTCAAAGACACAAAGAAAATTGGCTAGTAAGGGGCATCTTTCCACACTTGGAGAGGATGTTAAATAATATAGCTATTGGAG